ATAGAGAAAATTCTTACGAATCCCTCGAATGCATAGATTTAGTAATTGAGGCCACACCGTTTTATTCAGCTGTAACGGAGGCAATCAAACTTGCCCTAACTCTTCCAGCTACTACGTGCACTATTGAACGCACATTTAGTACAATGCGACGCATCAAAACAGTGTCTCACGAGAAATTAAGTAGTTTGTGCATGCTAAATGTACATAAGAAAAGAATCAAAGAACTCAGAATTCATTGAAAAAGTTATAAACAGATTTGGACAGCAAACAAGATTACAATTCTTGTTTGATTAAAAAAAATTTAATTGTTATGTATCAATAATTACTTAATTATTTGTTTTTGAATAAAAATATTTTTAATAAAAATTTTTTTAAAAAATTGCTTTTTTGTATCTCTTTAATTGTTTAAAAATAAGCCAGGGGGGTGCAAGTGCACCTCCTTGCACCCCACTGCCGGGGCCCTTGTTGCCGCACATCTATTTTACATGGATGCGATGAGGTTATTTTGAGAATACTGTTCCACTCTTGACAAAGTGAGATCTCCAAGTCTTGGATGGTAACAAGAGGTCTTGCAGCACCGTCCGAATACTTCCCAAGCAGACTCGATCAGATTAAGATCAAAAGAGCATGCTGGCCACTCTATATTCTCTATTATTTCAGATTCAAGAAAGTTATCCACGTGGTCTGACATTATTATGTATTAAAAGAAAGAAATCACGTATGGCTGCAACGTAAGATACGACATGGGATCTTAGAAAGAGAATACACACCCTCACGAAGCCTGTTTCGAATTGTTGGGCTTAATATTGATCCACACACACACACATATATATATGCTTGATATGTTGTTTTTTTTTGCATATATTTTTTACTTAATGTGTTCTATTTTCGTTTCAAGTTTTTTAAGTGCTCCTCACCCTATTGTTTTGATATATTTTGCTTTGGCTGTATTGATGCAATATGTGAAAGCACTCCTTTTTGCGGGTATTATCGTGTGAGCTGATGAAGAGATTATATATTTTCTTTATTTTGTTTCCCGGATCTTTAATACATATATATATAATCATTACCAGATTTATTTAATATATAATAATTCAAATAATTATTTGTGCAAAGGCATTTATAAAGATCGGAAATCGATAGATACTGTTCTATACAATCAAATTCATAATAATAGGAATAATAATTTTGTTTTGATGAAAATAAATTTTCTTTTTAATTCTCATGAGATAATTTAACAAATTTACGGTTGCATTGCTTATTTATTTTTTAATAAATGTGTCATATCTATATAAAGCATTTTTAATTATAACTATTTTAAAATAATAATAATAAACTAATAAAATTCAAAGAGGTATAGTTTTGAATTCGTTCTGTTAAATCATATATTTAAATTTAAAAAAAATGCTAAAATAAGCCTTTATACTTCAGTTATAATAGAACCAGTCGCTTCAAACTAGTAACTAGAATTGAATTAGTAAATATCCTTCTTTTGGTTCTAATTAACTCATGTTCGGAAAACCGAAACTAAACAAAACCGAAATTTAAGTTTATAATTGCCCGTAATAGAGTGCCTGTATTGAATAAGAATCACTCTAATCTGAATGATCTCTGGTTTAAAAACTTCAATAAACTACGAGTCTTTAAGCACAATAATATACTGGTTTTCAGAAATAAAAAAATTTTAGAATCTATCTATATTATATAAAACGCTAATACGTACGTATGTATGTATCAATAAAACCGATGATGGGTTAAATTTAGTAGGAATAACACAACCTGTGACGTAGGCTATAGTATACCCAATAAGGAATTAGTGAGAATGCTTTAAAAGGCCGATGTTGAATTGATATTTTTCTACTGGGAGCTACCTAAACGTCTAAAAAACGTTTAAGTGTTTGTATTGAATGCATTGAATTTTTTTATATTTCGCGTTTATTTATGCATTGAATTTTCACGCTTTAAAATGCAGAATATTAGTGAAGCAATATTTGATAATTTATTTTGCTAATATGTTTCTTATTTAGCTAATGTTTTGATTTTTTCACCATGTACAATCTAAATAGCTAATATACTTTTTTAAAAGCCAATAAGAACATTGGTAGAATTCTTCTACATAAGTACAATACTATGTCTTTGATGATAAAATACTATGTCTTTGATGATAATATATTATGTCTTTGTGCTAGAACATTGTGTTCATTGGCGAGCGAGCGCAGCGAGCCATGGTTCACGGCGTGAACCACATAGGATTGCGTAGCAATTCTCGGAGGTTGGCGAGCGTTAGCGAGCAGGGGGCGGAGCCTCCTAGTTTAAATTAAATTGCTTTTTAATAATCAACATTGATTACGCGCAAATGCTTAGGTAAGGCGGGGATGTAAAGAAATAAATATAATTAAGGATGGGAGTGCCACTTTTTGTGCATAAAACCGGGCTGTCATTAGCGTGTTGCTTTTCAACCCCATTCCTTCGGGAAAAGTGATATGTCCTTATCTCCCATATTAGTCCCTGATTTTTGAACACATGATTTTCTGGCAGAAATTTTTGCAAACGATTTGGAACACACTTCTTAATGACTATTTACTAGTAGAGCATTTCTGATATCGATATAAGAACATTTCTTAAAAGTAAACAAATAAATAAAACACATTTCTCTTCAAAAAATTTGCAGATGAAAATAGCTCAAATCACATTTAAATTCTTCCCTGTCATTTGAAATAATTTAATGCTGAATCACTAATATTTGAAATAATTTAGTGCTGAATCACTGACATTTGAAATAATTTAATGCTGAAATGTATTTACTCAGATACCTAAATTATTATTATAATTTTTTTTTGTTAAAATGTTATTACAGTGCTAAAAATTGTTTTCGCAAGTTCCGCAAGTAGTACGCTTTCAAAAACCAGTTGCTTAATTCATATCTTCCTGATGCAGGTTCTGTTTATGGTTAGGATCTTTAAAGATAAAGTCTTCGTGAAAATGTTCATTTCACCATCTCATTGCTAAACTAAGTTTTTATTTGAAACTTTTGTCAAACGATAATTCTAATTTCCAAAATGGCTGATATCCAAGGAACCTACAAGTTGGTCTCCAGTGAAAATTTTGGAGAATTTTTGACGGAAATTGGTAATTTTTATTTCTTAATTTTTAATTTCGTTTTTCATTTATACTTTTTCTACTATACTTCTTTAGTTTTTATACTTTTTTTTATTTCATTCCTTATACTCCAAAAATTTATACTTTTTTTAAATGACAAGTAATTCGGAAATAAATTAAAATTTATTTTTAAAAAATATTTTTAGTTATTGTAAAATTTCTATATATTATACATACTTTTCAAAACTATTAATTGGAAGTTTCAGTTCACTTGAAATATTTCAATAAGCCAAACATGCTATCCATTTTCCTATTATTTTTCTTTAATATTCAATAACTTATGTTTTTCGAGGTACACCCAGGAACTATTCAAGAATTATTATGAATTTTATTTGAATATAAGTTAATTAATACAAAAAATAACGTAAATTGGGGTTTATTCATTCGATAATGAGAGTTCATTTTTGGGGGCTGAAAGAGTATTTTCTTGTTAAATTTTTAATTTCTTCAATGAAGATAAGTAAAGAGTCTCACTTTGATACTTGGAACATATTTATTATTTCACTCATATAAATACAAACAAAAAAGTGCAATGTTTTCCGATTTTACAGATAATATTATTGCAAATGATTAATGCAAGTAAAAATTATTTTTACATAGAAAATTCCTTCTTATACGTGACTAATTCTCATAAACAAAAATTGTTTTTCAAAAAATAACTTTTCCCAACTGAAAAATATTTTAAAATTTGATGAGTAATATTTTGCGATAGTTAGTTTTTACCGATTCATTTTCAATGCAAGTTTTAGAAATTTCAAACTGATGTCCAATATAATGGTCACAAGGTCGTAAGCTGATATTGTAATTGAAAATGAACACCCCTAAAATAAAAATTAACATAACTCTAATTATAGGACATTTTTTTATCATAAATTAACTGAACAATTTCATAAATGCTTCTTGAAAAAAATCATTGAAATCTCTTTATTTAAAAAAAAAATTACTTATAATAAACAAATATTATAGAAAATTTTCTGCTAATTCTAAATAAAAAATGTTTAGTACAAAGAAAAGGAATATATAAGTTTATTCTAGTAGTTCTATTTAATACCGTTAGAAACCATAATTGTGTTCAGAGCATTTAAATGGTAAGTTGAACAATATTGTAATCAGAGTCTGACTAAGATAGGAGCATACAGGGCAGTTGCCCCGGACCCCCACATCAGAGGGGGCCTCCAAATTTAATAGAAAATTTATTTTGCGTTTCCTACTTTAATGAAGTTTTTTTAAACAAAATAACATTGCAGTGTAAAATCTGTCAGTTTTATGTTAGCTTCTTCATTAATCTATCGTATGAAATTAACACAATCTATATTTCGTAAATCAATGGCTTTCTTGGGCGGAATTCAGCTAAATTTTCGCAATTACGATGGACAAATTTGGCCAATCAAAATTCTGTATTTCTACATATCGCAAAATGTGATATATTTACAAAAATACAGGTTTCCGATTGGCCTAATTGAGCCATCGTAATTCCTTAAATTCAGCTGAATTCTACCCTAATGTCAACAAGCATATGAAGTTTTCGCAGCTAGATGACAAAGTTAACAATCAGAAAACTGTTTCCGGCATGATGGACATATAATTGCTAGAAAATCAATATAATGGACAGAACGATATTTCGTCTGACCATTTGAGGGGGAGGAAGCTATTTTAGTCAATTTTCGCGTTATTAATAATGAGGTGGAAAATTTAAATATCTCCCTGAAGTTCGGTTCTTCATTACTGAAGTAGTGAAGTAGAGAAGTTTTTGCCCCGGGTCCCAATTAGGCTAAGTCGGGCCCTGATTGTAATACTTCTTAAACTTGATATTGTGATAATCACAAATTATATATCTGCAGGCCTTGACCTTGAGGATCGCAAGCTGGCCGAATCAGCACCCACACTTGTGGAGATCAAGGTCGAGGGGGATGAATACTCTATCAACACCATTTTCTACAAAAACAAGGAAATTAAATTCAAGCTTGGCCAGGAGTTTGAAGAAAAGAGATTCAATGGTGACACAGCCAAGGTTAGAATAAGTTTTACAACCATTTTTTTCTTTCTTTTTCTGTGATAAATTGAAAACACTTTGAATTACAAACAATTGAGCAGGAATTTTAATAATCAAAAATGTAGATGAATGCAACGGTTAGGTTTGAATTTTACCCCAATAATAACGGGAACTAAGTTCGTAAAACCAAATTTTTGTCATCCAAACACCATTTTGAGGGTAATTATAAACCAAACTGAACCAATGGTTTTTCCCTTGCTGCTTCCATCAGATGATCCTGCTTATTCTCTTAATGTGTCAAACAGTATGTAACAGTACCTGGTTATTCCCCTTTTGTGTCAAACGGTATGCAAGAGTGCTTGGTCATTCCCTTAATACGTCAAACAGTATCTCCTTAATGCAGTGGTCCCCAACCTTTTTGTACCTAAGAGCAAATACCAGAATATCGGTCCAATGGCGGGCACCATTTATTTTTTCAAGATAAATTTATAGTTGGTAGACATAGGTAATAATACACACTACATATNCCAGTGTACCAAAATGAGATCATGTTTCTGGCCGCTGACGTCAGAGAGGCTTGTTTCATATGTAATACTGTTGGTCGTGAAGGGATAATACGTATATGTGATCAATGTCCTGAAAGGGTTAATTGTCACGAAAAGAATAAGTGATGATGTGAACACGAGGAAATAAGACTTTTCAAAATTATTTGAAATAATTGTTAGCTTAATTCTTCCCTTGCCTCACTAAAGAATGTTTTTCTTACAGACGGTGGTTACACGTGAAGGAAACAAACTTATCCAAATTAAGCATGGGGATAAAATAGTAAAAAAAGTCAGCGAATTTTCTGGAGATACCATGACAGTCGTAAGTTATGTCTTTCATCATCAGTTAAAGAAACTAGTTTTTTTTTCGAGTTGTACTCTGATTCCCATAACTGATAAGTACAAATTTTAATATCATAATGTATTGTCAAAAAATATAGATATTTTTCATATTTAGCTAATTTATGTATTTTTTTTCTCTTTTGCATTACCCCAAAAACTTTATCACTGTATTAATAATTACTACAATATTATTGTCATATTCGATAGTCGTAACTATCAAAAGTTATCACAATATTGTTAGATGTGATGTACCTATGTGTATTATCGGTAGCCAGTCACTTGTGTTAGTCAGAATCTGTCGTTGCTTATGTGTTGGTGAGCTTGGCTTCATGGGTCCTATAACCGATAAGTACCTATTTTTAATCATTTTTTTAGCATTTGACATTTAGAATTAAATGTGATTAGATCGTCATTTTTTTATTATCTACGTTGAACAGCCGACCCAATTTTTGCGTTTGCGACTGCTGATTTTCAATTCCGTAGCCTTGTAATTTTGAGCCCAATCCAGAGGACAAGGGAACTCCTGGATCAAGTATTGGGAGAAATTTGCCTTCGGGGAGGACTTTTTGACGGAACTAACCCGCATTTACGTTACATGGAGAGGAAGATCACGATAACCTCCCACGGTTAGCCTGACAGCAAGGGGTATCTAACAACACCTCCTAGAAGAAGGAAGGCCTCAGCACGGATCAATTTAGTAGTCCGATGTGACGAAGTTAACTGCACAGTAGATGAAAAATAAGAAAGATGTCATTACGTTCGGGGTACTAAGCTGCGCAGTGGTTGAAATACGAAATATCTCATTACGGTGCTGAAGCCTGCTCTTTTCTAGGAGGTGTTGACTCTAACCCATGATCCGTCTACCACTGAGGATATTTCACGTCAGCACTGTGGTAGGTGCAAGCCGGATGCGGAATTCGTATCGACCAGCCATCGCCGGGGTCGAACCCGGTTCACCTCATTGAAAGGTGAACTCTCTATCCCCTGAACCATCGCGGCTCTAGATCGTCATCTTGTAGTTTGAGGATTCTAAGTATTCACAAATCAATAATGGGGGAAATCGGTTCTCGCAGCGAGTTATTACTCAGTAAAGATGGGCCGTGCTTGGGAAATAGACGACAAACAATAAAAAGTATTGTGAAGAAAGTACGGGATGAAACTAGTGAAGCAGTATTGGTTGGGGAGGGATTATGAGGAAAAAACAGTTCTTGTCCAACCTGATTTTCAAATTATTATTTTTTTTCAGCTTTGAAAATTGTAAATTTTGATTTGAAATTTCAAAGCGAATTAAGCAAATGCTTGTGATGATGGTGCATAGTAAATTTTTCGGATTACAATCTTATGCTTGCTAATAAAAATTCTAGAGCCTTAAATTTTATTTTTCCCCTTCTCGGAATCAGCTTTAATGGACATGCACCATTTCCCACCCCCTTGACCTTCGTTTATTAATTAAATATAATGTACTGAATATAACAGTTATTGTCTTAATTGTAACGTAGGAGGAAGCTACCGCCAAATACCCTCGCCAAACGAATCCAAACACAAAAGGATAATTAAGAAGAAAAAATGGAAAACATATTTTATGATTACTTTTAACATTTTTCATTTCAAATATATAATGCCATTTTCGTCTTCGCAGCAAACGAAAAGTACTGACGGTTATTTAGAACTAAGAGAAGAATTTAAAATTAAGTGAAATAACAATATAAAAACAAAAAGTTCAAAATATGCAAGCTTATCAGTAAGTTAATGTGTAATAGTAAAATACAGGGGGGGAAGGCATACGATGTTCACTACTCAAAATTATATTATAATTTCTCATTAATACGAACGTATGTATAATTTGAAACTGCTATAACAATACAGAACAAAACATCTACGAAGGCGAGATAAGCGTTCTTCGATTGTAAACAGAAGATGGAAGTTTAGAACTCGTCTGCCTGGCTTAAACATACCTCAGAGTAGGTTTAACTTAGACAAGGCTGAACTAGATCTTTAGAAATGGGTCTTTCCTTAAACTTCGTTTTTGCAATTGGCTATCGAAATGGGCTACAGGCGACGTAGAGCAAAACTCACTACCTATGGCTAGAGCCCCTGAATTAGACTGATGGTATAGGAGCCTTACCTATGGCAACACTTCGCATGCTTTCTTCATTAACGTGTGGAGAGTCATCGAAAGAAATACGTTGATTCTGTCTTGAGTTTCATATAGATTAAAATCTTTTAAAACGGGTAACTATATGGAACTGAAAACTACATTCATAGTTCTAAAAGAAAGCACCATGGGAATTTAAAAATATATATTTATTAATTAAAAACGAAAAATATTAAACAAAGGAAGTAGTAGTTACATTCCTATACAACTGAAAAGAGGAGAGGGAAGGGCCTAAGGCATGGAACCCGTCTTCTCCCTAGCCCTTTCGAGCCGACTGTCACATATATGTGACAGCAAGAAACGCGCTCACTTCCCGGCCGACACACCCGCGTGTCAGAGAGTTTTCTCGTTCACCCCCGACCGTCACTTATTTGTGCCAGCGTTTCGGAACGTTTTAAAAAATGAAATTTCTTCCAAAAGATGGCATTGTATGTCCATATGGTTTCAGATACATGTAGATTTGACCTTCTACTCAAGATGAAAGTACATTCACGTGGTTTTTAGGGGAAGGAGTGGAGGGGGGGAATGTTTTATGAGGGCTCTTTAAATTAGCACGTGATATTTATTTACAGTAAGTAAGGGAGTTTTTTTTATCTCTCGCTACTTTCGATTTTCGGATTAGTTTTTAGTAGATAATTAGATCTTGTAGGCTTGAATTTTTTTTCTTTTTACCGTTAGAATGTCGAAGCGTCGAAAATTTTTAACTGAGCTGGAAATAGAGGAAATTATGCAAAATATTTAAACTTATTAATATTTATATTACATTTAAACAAGAAATAACTTAAGTAAATAAAGTATCCATTGAAATATATATAAAGCATATGTCACTTAAATACTCTACAGAATAATATTAAACAACGCGCTGATATTTCGGTAATTTCATGGAATTAGGCTTAACATCAAAAAACCCTCCGGCCCTGGGGAGACACACGCTAGAGAGACTGCCGGCCTCAGCGGTAAGCGCGCTTTCGCGCTTTGCGTCGCGGAAGGGCTAGGTAGCATATTCGAGCGTTGTGGTCACCTATGCAGCTAACTTTGCGGCTTACACCAGGTTTAAATTTAAACTTTGTTATGACACTTCAGCCTTTGAGATTTGTGCTGTCATACAGCTCGAGGCAAAATTTGCACATTTTATCTGGAATGACGACAAATTCTCCTTGTTTTAAATTCTATATCAAATCTGTTCATCTGCTCTCGTACTTGATCAGTTATAAGTTTTGAATTGAAATTTTTCTTTGCTATATTAGGTAAGTTTGTTTTAAAACTGTTAGAAATTTGATCATTATAACTTGGAGTAAACCTGTTTGTATTAAGTTTAAACTATATTTGTTCTAAGCTAGTAAATAAGAAATAAAACTGCTGATTTTTAGTTCGTAAAATTAGCATAAAGTACTGCTTGTTTTAAGTTAGTAAATTTGGTATTTTGAACTCGGCCTGTTCTAAATTTGTACATAGTCTAAAATTACGCTTGTCATTTTTTTACAGACATGTGAAGTTGGCAGTGTTGTTTCCACAAGAGTCTTCAAACGACAGTAAGTGCATGTCGTTCAGTCGTCATCTCATCGATATCTGGACACATATTTTACCGGTCAAGTGCCACCCCACAACATACAATTCCAATATAGAATAGAAATGTTTTAATTTTCCGATATTTTGTGTAACGGTGAACTATTTGTGTCGATTCTAAAGATGCTCACGCATTTTAAAAATGTCTGTACACCAACGAAATAACATCTGAATTGTTTTTCCTATGTCTAATAAAATATTGAAATTATAAATTGTTACGTCATTTCGTTAGAAACCACTGAACAAAAAAAAGAGTCATGATATTTTACAAAAGTAGCTCAAAAGTATGACCTGATTAAGAACTTCATTCGCTGAAACCTTAGAACTTCACCTTCAAATTTACATATTTTTGTAAGGGATATAGCAGAGCAGATGGAAATTGAAATATTAATCTTAAATGAAATGGGACGTTTTGTTCTGCTCTTTTAATATATTGAAAAAACTTTTAAGTAAGCTTTTAATGTATCGAAAAAACGTTTAAGTGATTTTTTTTTCTGCCTACTTTTTCTAAAAACATCATACATCGTGATGTTTATTTTTAAATAAAAATAGAAAGAAAATGGACCACCATGAATAATTTTTGATCTAATGATCGGATCTTCACATTCTAGAAGTCAATTTTAATGTCTTGAGGCGGTAACCTCAAATATGCTAATTAATAACCCAAGTAGCACCTAATATTAGGTCACATCAGAAAATCTAAATTAATCTTGCACAACTTCTAATATTAGAAAGATACAGAAGGTCGCTGTTTTCTCTGCATTATATGATATTAGATTCTATGCAAACTAATATTATCTAGCGATCGCTGTAATATTATTTCGCATTAGTTTTGATGCTATATAATATTAGATTTTGTATTTTCTGATATTATTTTGCGTTACTTTTTATTTTTGGAGTAAGCAAGAGAAAGATTTGGATAGTAGTAGAATAATTCGGTGATATAATTTTACTTAATTTTCTAAATTGCTGTGAAGCAGTAAAACATAGAACAATAGTTTTATAATGTCATTCCACGTATTATTTACTTAGCAATGCAGAATTACCAAAAAAATATACATATATATATTAGCGAATTCTGCTACCATCCATTTTCCTCTCTCTTACTACAAAGTATGTATATTATGCTCAGCTGATTTTTTTTAATATTTCAAATTTAATTAAACTATATCGCAACTTTTATTGATATTTTTTTCTTTTCTTTATACAATGGGTTTCTGATGAATTTTATATCTTTAATAATTTTTATGTCTTTAATTTTAAACTGCATTTTTAATTTTTTCTGGAAATTTGCCTAATTTATCAAAATCTTAATTGAATTTGTTAGTTTGTAAAACATGTTTTATAAAAGTCGTAACTTAGGCCATTTGTAATTTCACAAATATCATTCATTATTTATATTCTGAAATTACATAATAAAAACCACACTATATAATTATAAAGTTATAATTACATTTGAATTGAGTGAAAATTTAACTTTAATTTTTTTCCCTTAAAATCCTAAAATAAAATTTTACAATTTTTAAGTTCTCATTTTTTGTAATAATTGACACAATGAAGAACGAAATGTAAAAATATTCTGCTTACTCACTTCAACAAACATACAAATATTTTCTTCCACTTCTTTTTTTCACTGAAATTTAATGAAAAAATGCTTACGCAACTTTTAGTATCTAAAATTTTATTTAACAAAACACCTGAAGCAAAACCCAAACACAGCGTAGAAATTTTTCCAGGGAATGAAGCCTGAAAAGCATCTAATATTGTGAAAATTGCCAATAATTTAAAAATAACTCTATATGAGCACATCAGAAATTTTCATCAATTCGATAATTATTTAAAGGTGTTATGTACTAAACCATCAATTTTAGCAAAAAATTTACATAACATTTTAATTTCAAATCTGTCAATAAATATTATGTTTTATCCTAATTAAATTTGCACAAACATATAATTGCATACGAGAAGTAAATGAAAAGATATAATGAGTCACAAAAGTAATGAAAGTTAGATCGAATACTATTTAATCGAATACTATTAAAGATCGAATACTATTTAATCTTATATAATGTTAGTTCTAGATGTTAGAAGATAAGATTCAAGAGTCTAACGTTTTCTAGCACGCAAGTATTATATTATATCCTTATAATGTTAGATAATTTCTTTTTGATAACTGGGTACGATATTTTAAGAAACGAAATGAGACACAAAAACGTACTTTCTCTGAATAAACATATCTTTTTTACTACAAATTCAGATTTCTGACCCCCAAAATATTGGGAGTTGCCGCAATCTGGACATTACGGTTCCCAAGTTAACTTATACGTTATATCTCGCGATCATTTTAATAGAATTGAAAAATTTTTGCAAACAATTATAAAATTAATTTATTCAAAGATAATTCATGCAAAAAATAACCTTTATAGGATATTTATTATTTTATTTATTAATAGTAAAAAAAGATTTGAATTGTAAGGTGTACAATTATACATCATTTTAAAGAATACAATTTTAGATGACAAAATATAAAATTTGAGCAAAATCTGTTGAATAGTTCCAAAGAATTCAAATATTTAAAATTCAATTTCTCAGGAACTATTAGACCGATTTTGCTCAAATTTTGTATTTTGCTTTGTAAAATTAATTTCTTTAAAATGATGCAGAGAATTGTATATCTTACAATTCCCATTTTTTTTTACTGTTATTAAATAAAATAGTAAAAACAATAAATATTTAATAAAGGTTATTTTTTTGCATGGAATTATCTTCGGATAAACGAATTTTATAATTGTGCTCAAAAATTTTCCAATTCTATTAAAAAGTTCTCGAGATATAACGAAATACACAAAAGTAAAATTAAAGTTAAGGGGTCTAAACTTTGGAGCACTCGCCTGACCAAACTATTGGGACCATAATTTCCAGATTGCTGCTACCTGTTATATTTAAGGGTTAGAAATCTAAATCCATCAACAACAAAAAAGGTTACGTTTATTCGTAGAAAATACGTTTTTGTACCTGATTTCGTAACTTAAAATATCGTTTACACTTATTAATTAGCATATTTAAGGTCAACCCCTCGAACCATAAGGAGTGAGTCCTAGAACATGAAAACCCAATGATTAGATCAAGAATTATTCAATGTAGTTTCTCTTTTCTTTTTTTTTTTGCTCACTGTGCATCTTGATAAGATGATAAGTATTTATTTTGATGCTATATATTCATTGATATATTTTAACAAACCTGAAGAAATTACAATCTGAATAAATAATGCAATGTGTATAATGAGTTTGCATGCGTTACATAGTTTGTTTTATAGATTATAAAGTAATGTATTACAATTCAGTAAAATTGTTATTTTTTTTAAATAAAAGGCATAATAAATATTGTCATTTTAATGTTTCTATTTTAAGTTTTGTTTCTAGAAATCAGACAGTTGAAATATCTTTTATTTCATGCTTTTTTGTTTGTTTAGTTCGCAATTTGTACTTATAAAAGAATCGGTTGGAAATTTAAAGGAAAAAATTGATTTATTAATTGTATAAAAAATAAAAATTAAATATTGGTAATGATGCAGTTTGAACTGGTTAAATGTAATAAAAAAAACGAGTGTGCTTAAAGATAGGTGTTTTCAAGTGCGTCCAGGTTGAAAAACCACTCTGCAAAAATAATTAAGGAAGAATTTTTACTTCATTTTTGAAAAGACTAAAATAATATAATCTGAAGATTAAAGTGTCTGCTGATGAAATAATTTGTACATTTAAGTTCACTGACATCAGTTATTGTATGAAACAAATTTGTCTAGTCTGCAATACTAAAAAATAATTTTATCAGATCAATTAAATATAAAAATCATTTTTGTGAACCTATAAGTATGTTTCGACAGTTTAAAAGTTTAAAGTTAAAGAGCTTATCCACTAGTAGTACCCTGATATTGTTGAGATGACCTAGAGTCTAGGCTGTATATAGCACATGCGCACAGGGCTAAAACATGCGCAGCAACCTGAAGAAGTTGCTAACAAGCTACTGCTTAGCCTTCCCTTGGGAAATTCAGAATTTTCAGACTAATTCAGAATTTACACCAAAAAGAAGAAAAAAAATTTCTCATAATAAACTACAGAATTTATGTAATTGTTGATAACAATAGTTTGCCTGGTGTTTGATAATTGAATACTAATAACTGTACTAGTTCACTTTTTCATGCTTGATTACAGAACTGTTATTTTTCGCAATTTACATGTTAATTATTTACTAAGCAGATAGTTATTACTTATTAGAATACTAAGCAGAATCAAATAAAATCTGATATCATGTTGTTATCCTAATTTGTTTCAAGGTTATGAGAATTTTTTGCTGCTGCTTATGGTTCACTACTTGAAAAATTAACAAATTTTGGAAACCTTAAATTGTTTAGAAATATGTCAGTATTATGAAATTTTAATGCTGAATCGAATAAAATCAGTTGCAAATAGAAGAATTTATTGTTTTAAAGTTACATGCATTTTTTATATTTAAACAAATGATTGTAGCAACTAAACAACTAGTTTTAATCTGCTCGGTATTATAAGTTACTTACGAAATACTAATATTTTACTCAGCTTCTTTTAAAAGCATTATTTCAAATCATTTTCTCTGAGACATTTTCCTCTCATAAAATTGTAAACTACTTTAAAACACATAATCCTATCAGCTTGTGGTTAGTTTTATACCAGATAGCAAAATAAGGTTTATTTTAACTCAGCAAAAACCTCTTAAAGTAAGCCTAAAGAAGTTTGTTACGTGGTTTACGTGTGAACCTTCTAACCTTAAAACGAGATCTGTGACAATCTGCTCTATTCTACGCACATTACCCCAATCCAAAACCTTGGAAAACAACATAAAAACCTTAAATCGAGGTTGACTTAGGGTTTTCAAGCGTGAAAACATCCTTTCATAAAGCAAGGTGAAAATAATTGAGTTAAATAATAGGTAATTATAAGGTTTCTTTTCGTAATCTTGTATGCTCAGCTAAAATCCACCTTGTCTTGAAATTTTAATGGACAATTTAATTTGATCCTATCGCTAGTGTAACGTCAGCCGAAACGTCAATATGAACCCAAGTGACCATTTTATTCTAAGTGACAATACTTTTTAAAAAATCCTTTTAGGATGAAAAATTTGAAACTTCAATATTTTTGCTTTATTGAAAAAAGGTTTTTAGTACAAACATTTTCGT